TATGCAAATCTTGAAACAGCTCGTGGGCGGGCTCTTCATTATTGGCTGGAACTTCGTCGCAACGTCAGTTATTTGCATTGCGATAAAGACGGTGATGCCGTTGAGGATGCCGGAGGATCAGCTGCTGATCGGCGACGACGCTGTGCATGGCGAGGAGGCCTACGCCTTGTGGGGTGATGGTGAGAAGTATGATTTTTTGAAACATGAGATTTTCTCGGATGACAATTCACAACCTCGTCAGTACCCTTCAAGTGGTGCTACTCAAGTGGTCTAATTGGAGACAGATATATTTGATTAACTAGTTCATTTCAGGCATTAGGATTTGGTTTTTGGTTTTAAAAAAAAAAAAAAAAAAAAAAAAAAAAACAGAGAGAAATCAAGCAAATATTTGCAATGAAGAGATCGAATATGGGCATCCCAAATTCTTCGGAATTATTCACTATTTGGTTTTTCAGACCTCAAGATTTGGCAAGCAAAGACGCTTGCTCTGGAAAGAAGATGAAGAACAGCAAAAGACACCCAAGAAACAATTAAGTAGTACAATAAGCTAATTCAACTTGAAGCTTCCAAACTCGCAAAGACTCTTAAAAGAGAAGAAGGGGAAAAAAAAAAAAAGAGCTCAAAGGCTCAAGTGCTATATGTACAGTCGCTACTCATTAGAATCCGACATTTGCTTAAAAATAAAATCTCAAAAAAATAACCTAAAAATTGGTGAAAAACTAATTCATTTGTTTTCCTTCTTGTGATATGGTTGTTGGCAAGATGGCAATATGTGTAATTTCAATTTTAAAGTAAAGGCCTTTATTTAACTCTAGATATCTGGTGTTTGTGAAAATGTAAACATACTATCCTACACCAATAGCGTGGCTCTGTTTGGATTAATGAAACAGTATCTCAAATTTTAAGAAAGTCATTTCATAAAAAACAAAATTGAAAAAAATAGAATAGAAACTCATATTTCATCCCTTAACAAAAGGGCACGTCTATGGTAACCTACTATCCTCCACCAATAGCGATGTAATTAATAACCATTAGATCATGACCGACGGTGGAAAATAATTTTTGATTAACCCTCTCACACCAAATTTCATTAAAAATTCCAACAATAAATAATAAAAGAATACTCAATTAAAAAACTTATTTTTGAGATAAGAGAGAGTAAGAAAACAAATTGCATGCCGTGTTTGAAATTAATCTCATTTTTATTTTTCACGTTTCTCGAGAGAGAAAAAATGAAAACGTTTTCAAAACGGCGTCTTGCATAATAAAGATAAAAAATTAAAATTAAAACGATTTTTTGATTTAGTGTAAAATGAGAGAAATGAAAAACGACTTTTAATTATTTTTCATTTGTTATTTTCATTTTCTCCTCTCTCGAGTAGAGAGAAAAAGAGATATTAATGGGTTTTTTTACACTGAAAATAATCTCTTGATAATACTACTAAACGCATTTTTAAAAATAATTTTCGTCTGAGATTGAAAACGTTTTTATTTTCATACAAAAAATAAAATTATTTTAGAACGAGTTCTAAACGCGCCTATTATTTTTTTCTTTTTGTTCTAATAAAGGTGCATGGATAAACAGGTTGCCGATTTTAGGTGACTGTAACTCGGGTTGTTTAAAAATTGGTTTATAAGTGGTGAAACTGCAAACCGCCTATTAAAGGGCACACAGTTTGCGCAGTTTGCGGGCAGGTTGGGCTTGAACAGGCCTAATGGACTTTTTTAAAAATAAAAATCATAAAAAAAAAGTGTAAAAAAGCTGAAATTAAAAGCCCTTTTGGTTTTTGAAGTAAAAATAATTATTTTTCTTATCTTTTAAGTGACTAATATAAATAATGAGTTATTTAATCCTATCATATTCTATGATTCTGATAAAATACAATAATAAAAAAAATATCAATTCATTAAGCAATACATTAGACTATTTACATGGTATAGTTGTCGACATTCAATCGCATAAATAGTCTTTGTCCATACATACATATTGTTTTTATAGTATGTTAATCTAATCTTTATTAGTTGTTTTTACAGTATGTTAATCTAATCTTTCTAGTATCTTTATTAGTAGACAACTAATGTTTAATAAGAGTACAGAGTTTAACTTTTTTTATGATACCTAATTAACTATTAAAATTCAATAACTACAATATGACTATCAAACATCATTAATTTTTCATCATACTTGCTAAAAGAGGGAAAAAAAATCAACAAAAGACATATTTAGATCTTAACCTAATATTTAATACATGTAAGTCTACATGTTATTTATAGTGTATGGCTATGCCTAGGTATATTGATAATTTTTTACTCAATGAAAGTCAACAAATATAGTTAATATTACCTTAATATACAAACCTAATTTCATATAACATTCATGCCTAATGCTTTATTTATTTTTTATTTTAAAAAAAATAGCAGCTGACCATTTAGGTTGAACCCGCCATTAAGAGTGCAAAATCGCAACTCACCCGCATTGACGGGCTGGTTGAAACAATGGGTTAACGGGTTGGTGACATGGCATAATTGTAAGAGCGGGTTGGTGGCACCAGCCCTTACTTTTCATTGTAAAATTTAATTCACTAATCAACCGTAACACTTTTAACATCAAATTTAGTTTGCACATAAGATTCAAATCCAAAAAGAGATGGGCTTGACAGATAATTATATGCTCGTGATGTCTTCGAAGAAATTTGTTGAACTTACCCTTATAATGTATAGGTCTAAATTTTTACTCTTTAATCTTAATTAATATCCTTTTAATTGATATAATTATTTAACTAAAAAAAATATTAATCAAGAGTGGATGATAAAAATCCATACTCGTACACTATAAGGAGGGTGTTTGTCTCCTTTCTCCATGTCTTTGAATAGTATAAACCCAGGAAAGAGCAACCATTTGCTTCTTGAATTGGGACACTTGGGCTCGTTTAGTTTGCTAATTCGAGTTGAAATGTGACTTTATGTAAAAAAATTTTACTGTATTAAAAAAGTTAAATGTAACTATTTCTGAGAGTTTTTTACTATAACAAAACTTGAATTCTAAACTTGAATCGGTGAAATTAACGTGACTTTAATGATTGTTTTGGATTGGCCATCAAATTCAGACTCGAACATTCCTCATGTATCCTTCAATCTTAAAAAAAAAAAAAAAAAAAAAAAAGTATAAAAACCCATTCAAAAAAGAAAAAGAAAAAAAAAACATGGTCACGACAGGACACGACTTCTAGATAGTGTCACGAATGAGGCGCTTGGCGTCAGAGCTGTCCGCGAGGAGTGGGATGGCAAAGCGGAAAGAGAGAAAAAAATATAGGTTTCGTCACCATTGTAGAGCAATATCAGAGGATAGATCAATAAAGTATGGGCTTTGTTTAAGGTTGAATATGATGTGAGAAGTTTATTTTATTTTGGTATCCCTCCATCTTTTTTACTATTCAATT